TAGACCATTTGCAGAAAGTGGGTTTTTATTTTGTCCTACCAGCGATTATCGCTTGGCATTCGTGTCATAACCAATGCACCTGTTAGCTACCCATCTCTCAAAACTATGGATGGGAAAATGGATTTGAATATAACAGAGATCATAATTTTCATCAAAAATTAAGCTAAATCTCTTCTGAAGATCTAAAAAGTTTGGTTAACTTCTTACCACACTGGTTTACCATATTCTGGTCAGTTCCAGAAGCAGAAGTGCTTTCATGGGAAAGGACATTCTCCTGAGATTTCAACTACAAATAGGCAGACTAAAGAGATCTGAATAAGGCTCAGATAATCACCCAAATTTGGGGTGACCTTCTGAGGTTCAACCATGGGAAATCTAAACCACTGTCCCACTCAGCAATGCAAAAGACTGGTTCAATAGACTTGAACTTCGATAGCATTTATCAACATGCTGTTGCACTACTGTGTATATATTATAAATCTAACTACCATCTCCAGGTTTGTTTCTTTACAAAGTGCGTGTAACACTGACAGACCCCGGTCGTCAGCAAGCAAGATTGAACCTGGGACCTCTGAAACTTAGTGCATGAGCCAAAAGCCACATGGCCCTTAGCTAAGGCTCTAGCAGACTCATTAATGTCTAAGTGGTCTTGGTGCCATTAAAAGGGATAAAATACCACATCCGGGAGGTGTGTGGGTTACATACTTCCCCTAGCTGAGGAAGCGCATCCCGACCTTCAGAGACTTCCCAGTTGATATCCTGGACGAACCCCCACTTGTAACACCGACAGACCCCAGTGGGTGGGATCAAACCTGGGACCTCTGGAGCTAAATGCATGAGCCGCTACTGCATGAGCTAAAAGCCATATGACTATTAGCTAAAGCTATAGCAGACTCATTAATCTCTAAGTGGTTTCAATGCTACTAGAGAGGACACCACATCCAGGAGGTCTGTGGGTCACAGGTGCACTAAGTACTTTTATAGGACAGCAACTGTAAATCAAGCATTCTGTACACAATAGTACAGCCAGGTCATCTGTGCAAATTATTCTATTAGTAACATTGAATGTCATTTACCAAAAGGATACATTTCTGCTTCTTTATCATCATTAAAGGGGCAAAATGGATCACTTTAGGGCTGACACAAGAGATTCCTGCTTTCACCAAATGTTCACAAATGTTCTGATTACTTTATGATGTTTTAATTCCTGTATATGTTTGATTTCTAAATAATAGCACATAATTATTGTTGCAATGTGGCCTGTTACAAAAAAGAAATAATCCAATTATTTATGTTTAAAAATATAGTTAAATGGTTAGTATACCAAACCATTATTAACCATAAAAAATGTTGTGTATGAATAATATTGTATTGATGGGCTCATTAGGATTGGAATCTGCCTTTGAGACAACACAACTGAGCCTTTGCCACTTTAAATCCTCCACAGCAGCTTGCTAACTCCTTTCCCTCTGTTTAGATAAATCTGTTCTGTTCTTCCCAGAGATATTGAGCTTCAGCCAAATCTTATCCACACTCCTCTTCAATAGCTGCTACCATTTTGGCTAACTGAGCAGCAAATGTCTCAATGAATCTTACACCGCTTGCACACAACATTTATAAAAGGTTCCAGAATAATGACTGGGCATGCAGGCTCCATCAAATGGAATTGCAGAAGAGTCCAGACATATTGCACCAGAGATTCACCACACCTCCTCCTGGTAAAATGCATATGTAACTATTTGATGCCTTGTTCTGTGCTCATTAAGGTCAACAGCGAAACTGCCGTGGAATTTGATGGGAGCTGGACTGGGCTCTTGGTATTCCTTTTCTGGCTATTGATTACACAATAACTCTGTTAGCTGCTCTGTAAAGTACCTAGCACACTGATGGTAACATGCAAACAATAAATACACAGTAACTCATGTTTATAAAAGAAGATATTCTAAAACAATTACATTAACACCAGAGTCACAAAATCCATCAGAAACACTGGCATTCTTATGCCATTCCTTTGTGGCAATATTACGAAGGGAAATCTTGACCACCACCTAACGCCCCATCTCTACAGCCACAGAAGTCCCTAATCACAGTGAAACTAATGGAATTTTGCTTTTGCAAGGGTGAAGAACCAGCACCTCCCTGGGGCTTCTCACATCATTCGTACCATATGCCCTTTGCATGCCATGGAGCTGTGTTCTTTGGAGCTTAGCTGTGCCCAGTATTCAGGGGGTTGAGGGTGAGCTGAGGAGACAATAGAGGGACTGGAGAATTTGCCACTATGCAAATCCACTAGTCCTTACCTTTGAGCAGGGAGAGAGCAGGGGCTTCAACAGCTACCACAAGCACTGCAGATACAGCAACCGCGAAGAGGCATTCCCTGATTTGAAGGGAAGGATTCCTCCCCTTCCTGGCTCCTACAAGGCAATAAGTCCTAGTGGACAGAGGACTGGACTGGGACTTGGCAGACCTGGATTCTATTCCTGGCTCTGCCACTGACCTGTTGGGTGACTGTAGGCAAGTCACTTCCTCTCTCTGTGACTGATTCCCCATCTGTAAAATGGGGGTGACAATACTGACTTCCTTTGCAAAGCACTTTGAGATCAGCTGGTGAAAAGTGCTCTATATATTAATTTTACTACTACAACTACCGTTGTCTCCAGAACAGAGCTTACTTACTGGAACTGAATGCTGGATCAAGGATTTACTCTAAAAGCCTATTGTTCCAGGATTAGTGATGTATTCAGTAATATGTAATACCTACTCCACTTCATTACACTTATTAGTTTACTAGTGTGTATTGTGACAAAGCCCTGTCCTTGCCTCCATGGGTCCCATGTTTCCTGGCAGATTTCGCTAGCCTCAGAGGCTCACTGTGACCCTCCATGTAACCCTTCTTTCTCTAGAGACAAGGGTCACAGTCTACTGAGCCATTTTCATCATAAGCCAGCAAGGGAGGGGAGAAGTTATCCTTCCTTGCACAGTCTCTGTTGTCTCCCAGTCTCAGTGATTAATCAGGGGGCAAAGGTAGGGGGGGAGCCCGGGCCCACCCTCTACTCCAGCCCCAGGGACCCTGATAGTATCAGCTATGGTAGCTGACCTTTTAGGAACATGACGTGTACAATTCCCTGGGCTACTTCCCCCACAGCAGCCCTCACTTTCTCAAGCTCCACTTCACCCTTATCTCAGGGCCTCCTTCCTTCTGCCTGATATGGTGTGTACTACTCAGCCTCTCCAACAGCATAACTTCCTTCCACAGCTCCTGACATGCACACCCACCTGACTGACTGGGAGGCTTTTAACTAGTTTCAGCCAGCCCCTGATTGGCTTCAGGTGTCCTAATCAACCTAGCATTCTCCCTGCCTTCTGGAAAGTTCTTAATTGGCCCCAGGTGTCTTAATTGACCTGGAGCAGCTTCCATTTCACTTAACCTGGTACCAGGGATTTGTTTAGCCTGGAGCTAATATATCTATCTCCCACTACTTTTCTATAGCCATCCAGCCTTGCCCCGTCACAGTATGTACAATACAAAACGTGCTTTCTTATCTACTGTAAAGAGGAAGGAGGACAATTAAAATAGACATATGATAGATCAAATTAAATGGATGTTTCTTTTATTTCAGCTATTTATTTGGAATTCTGTCTTGATTATAAGATGTTAAATTAAAATCAGAATAATTTCTAAGAAACATACTTCTGTAATGCTTCCCAGAAGACATTCCTATTCCACTTCCCTGCTGAAAAATTCTGTAACTATAAACAGAATTGATTTTTTTTTCTTCAAGATATAAACCATCTTTAATTAGCATGAGTAAAATGAAGACCTTTTGAAAAAAAAGATAAATTATATTTTCTTTCTTTGACTGTGAATATGAATATTTTAGGACCCACAGAACATCAATTTTGTGGTGTAATCTACTGTAGTCCATGGAAAAAAGCATATGAACTGATTGAGGATGCCCCCTGCATGTGGACACAAAAATGGAGGAGAAGGGAACAAGGAACCTGTCCTTCTGTGCCCCTCCAAGCTTACACAATTGCAGCGAGGTCACAGGGATGAGTGACTGCTCTTGGCCCTTCGGAACCCCACCACCTGGGTATTCCTCCAATAGATAGATTCCTCAGTTGATCAATTCAGCCAAATCTACAGCCTATTTCATCCACCAAGGCCATATTGAAGTCACAGATCTGGCCCGATATCTCTGGGCACTCTGACACCTTCCATGAACACTAAACAAATTAGTGGCAGTTATCTAAAGGAAGAGAGTGTAGAGATTCCAAGGAGAAAAATGGTAAGCCCCAAAATCCAGATTTGTTGGAAATGTAATGCCCCATTGAAACCAGGTATATAGTAAGTGACTCCCACACTTAGAAGCCCGAGGAAGAAAAACAAGCAGTTATGTAATTGATATTCAGTTAATGTCTTTCAGCAGAGAAAAAATCTGGGCAGACATTCTTTCCACATTTTAATTCTGCAGAAGTGAAATGATCTAACACTGAACATTCAAAGTCTCCAGAGCATCTGCTCATTAAAGGTTGGACTCTGTGAATATTTGAGTTTATCTTAAGTTTAATTTGGCTATGGTAATGTTATTCCCTCTCTCCTGTGATCTTTTGATAAAGAGGCCAACTCATGGATTTCTCAAGGATATGTTCCTGGTTGTGTATGTTTAAAAATACTTTAAATATAAAAATGATGGGCTAAAATATGAATAAAAGGGTCTACTTAATTACTATAAGTAATAGATTTTTTTTGTTTACGTCAGTTCTTTCATTCAATTTTCATTCTGACCTATATATGTTAAATCCAGATGAAAACATCTGGGTCTTAAGGAATGACAGATACTGTGGCAATACTAGTTATACAAGGATTTAAATGATTTTTTGTTTGTTTAAGCTTTGTATCCAAAATCCATTCCTGGGCCTCCTACAGCTTTGAAACGTCTCACCACACTTTCAGTGACCATCAGTTACTGACAAAAACACCTCCTGAAAATACTTACCTTGCTGTCTCTCTCCATTCAGCATCCTCTCCTTCACGCCAGCAAATCTCATCAAGTTCAGTAAAGAGGTCATGAGGAATGTGTTCCTCATCATCATCCTCTGTTCCAAGAATAAACTGTACTCTTTGTGATGGGGTGTCTGGGGGGGAAACACAAATATCATCAAAAAAACATAGACAGCAGGGACTGTGATTGGACCGAATTACTAACGTGCATTTTTTCAGCAAGGATTAAATGCAAAATGATTTTACATTAGTGAGAACAGTCATTTGTATGCCTTCAGTAAGCAAATGACTGGAATTTCATGAGATTATTCAGCTGTCTCTTATCCAGATAATTAACCTTCACAAACAAGTATTGTAATACATAAAATAATCACACATCTTGTCAGTTCAGTCATGCTTTAACTCATGCTCTATGAACTGTTGAGCACACAGCACTTTACTATTAAGATCTGTTTATTCCATCTAAATTACCTGTATTCTAATTAAATAAATATATCCAAAACAGACAAACACATTTTTTTCACAATGTGAAGTATACAGATACTTACAAATGTGATTTAATGATGTCTCACCCAGCCTAACAGGGTAAAATAAACCACAGGTACTGCTAAGTGTCAGACAAGCTAACTACTGTGGACTGATTTTTAATGTACAAATTTAACTCAGTTCACAAAGTCGGGGTACTACATCTGCATTCATTTTTTCCATTAAACTTCTATTGATAGGTCCCAAAAGAAAATACCCTCCATGAATTTCAAATCTCTCACTATTCACTGATATAAATTGTCCTGTTGGACCTGCCTAAATAGTTAGAAACAACATATAGAGAGAGACAGACAGACAGAAGGCGGGCTAGAATAGTAAGAATAATTGCTGCCATTCCAACAGTTCTTTTTCCTATCTATTCTTGACTTCCCCATTTCTTATCCTCTCTTCCTGCTCTCCTCCCTTCACACCACCTTTTCCCTTCTTTCTTTTCCCCTATGATCTTCTCCTCACTGCCCAATCAGCTGCTACATTGTCTCAGCCCTGGTCTACACGAGGACTTTAGGTCGAATTTAGTAGCGTTACATCGATGTAAACCTGCACCCGTCCACACAATGAAGCCCTTTATTTCGACTTAAAGGGCTCTTAAAATCGATTTCCTTACTCCACCCCTGACAAGTGGATTAGCGCTTAAATCGACGTTGCCGGCTCGAATTTGGGGTACTGTGGACACAATTCGATGGTATTGGCCTCCGGGAGCTATCCCAGAGTGCTCCATTATGACCGCTCTGGACAGCACTCTCAACTCAGATGCACTGGCCAGGTAGACAGGAAAAGAACCGCGAACTTTTGAATCTCATTTCCTGTTTGGCCAGCGTGGCAAGCTGCAGGTGACCATGCAGAGCTCATCAGCACAGGTGACCATGATGGAGTCCCAGAATCGCAAAAGAGCTCCAGCATGGACCGAATGGGAGGTACGGGATCTGATCGCTGTTTGGGGAGAGGAATCCGTGCTATCAGAACTCCGTTCCAGTTTTCGAAATGCCAAAACCTTTGTGAAAATCTCCCAGGGCATGAAGGACAGAGGCCATAACAGGGACCTGAAGCAGTGCCGCGTGAAACTGAAGGAGCTGAGGCAAGCCTACCAGAAAACCAGAGAGGTGAACAGCCGCTCTGGGTCAGAGCCCCAAACATGCCGCTTCTATGATGAGCTGCATGCCATTTTAGGGGGTTCAGCCACCACTACCCCAGCCGTGTTGTTTGACTCCTTCAATGGAGATGGAGGCAATACGGAAGCAGGTTTTGGGGACGAAGAAGATGATGAGGAGGAGGAGGTTGTAGATAGCTCACAGCAAGCAAGCAGAGAAACCGGTTTTCCCGACAGCCAGGAACTGTTTCTCACCCTAGACCTGGAGCCAGTACCCCCCGAACCCACCCAAGGCTGCCTCCTGGACCCAGTAGGTGGAGAAGGGACCTCTGGTGAGTGTACCTTTTAAAATGCTATACATGGTTTAAAAGCAAGCATGTGAAAGGATTACTTTGCCCTGGCATTTGCGGTTCTCCTAGATGTAGTCCTAAAGCCTTTGCAAAAGGTTTCTGGGGAGGGCAGCCTTATTGCGTCCTTCATGGTAGGACACTTTACCACTCCAGGCCAGTAACACGTACTCGGGAATCATTGTAGAACAAAGCATTGCAGTGTATGTTTGCTGGCATTCAAACAACATCCGTTCTTTATCTCTCTGTGTTATCCTCAGGAGAGTGAGATATAATTCATGGTCACCTGGTTGAAATAGAGTGCTTTTCTTCAGGGGACACTCAAAGGAGCCCATTCCTGCTGGGCTGTTTGCCTGTGGCTAAACAGAAATGTTCCCCGCTGTTAGCCACAGGGAGGGGGGAAGGTTGAGGGGGTAGTCACGCGGTGGGAGGAGGCAAAATGCGACCTTGTAACGAAAGCACATGTGCTATGTATGTAATGTTAACAGCAAGGTTTACCCTGAAAGAGTGTAGCCACTGTTTTATAAAATGTGTCTTTTTAAATACCGCTGTCCCTTTTCTTTTCTCCACCAGCTGCATGTGTTTCAATGATCACAGGATCTTCTCCTTCCCAGAGGCTAGTGAAGCTTAGAAAGAAAAAAAAACGCACTCACGATGAAATGTTCTCCGAGTTCATGCTGTCCTCCCACACTGACAGAGCACAGACGAATGCGTGGAGGCAAATAATGTCAGAGTGCAGGAAAGCACAAAATGACCGGGAGGAGAGGTGGCGGGCTGAAGAGAGTAAGTGGTGGGCTGAAGAGAGTAAGTGGCAGGCTGAAGACAGGGCTGAAGCTCAAATGTGGCGGCAGCGTGATGAGAGGAGGCAGGATTCAATGCTGAGGCTGCTGCAGGACCAAACCAGTATGCTCCAGTGTATGGTTGAGCCGCAGCAAAGGCAGCTGGAGCACAGACTGCCACTGCTGCCCCTCTGTAACCAGCCCGCCCTCCTCCCCAAGTTCCATAGCCTCCACACCCAGACGTCCAAGAACGCGGTGGGGGGGCCTCCGGCCAACCAGCCACTCCACCACAGAGGATTGCCCAAAAAAAAGAAGGCTGTCATTCAATAAATTTTAAAGTTGTAAACTTTTAAAGTGCTGTGCTTAAAGTGCTGTGTGGCATTTTCCTTCCCTCCTCCACCACCCCTCCTGGGCTACCTTGGTAGTCATCCCCCTATTTGTGTGATGAATGAATAAAGAATGCATGATTGTGAAGCAACAATGACTTTATTGCCTCTGCAAGCGGTGATTGAAGGGAGGAGGGGCGGGTGGTTAGCTTACAGGGAAGTAGAGTGAACCAAGGGGCGGGGGGGTTCATCAAGGAGAAACAAACAGAACTTTCACACCGTAGCCTGGCCAGTCATGAAACTGGTTTTCAAAGCTTCTCTGATGCGTACCGCGCCCTCCTGTGCTCTTCTAACCGCCCTGGTGTCTGGCTGCGCGTAACCAGCAGCCAGGCGATTTGCCTCAACCTCCCACCCCGCCATAAACGTCTCCCCCTTACTCTCACAGATATTGTGGAGCACACAGCAAGCAGTAATAACACTGGGAATATTGGTTTCGCTGAGGTCTAAGCGAGTCAGTAAACTGCGCCAGCGCGCCTTTAAACGTCCAAATGCACATTCTACCACCATTCTGCACTTGCTCAGCCTGTAGTTGAACAGCTCCTGACTACTGTCCAGGCTGCCTGTGTACGGCTTCATGAGCCATGGCATTAAGGGGTAGGCTGGGTCCCCAAGGATACATATAGGCATTTCAACATCCCCAACAGTTATTTTCTGGTCTGGGAATAAAGTCCCTTCCTGCAGCTTTTGAAACAGACCAGAGTTCCTGAAGATGCGAGCATCATGCACCTTTCCCGGCCATCCCACGTTGATGTTGGTGAAACGTCCCTTGTGATCCACCAGAGCTTGCAGCACTATCGAAAAGTACCCCTTGCGGTTTATGTACTTGCCGGCTTGATGCTCCGGTGCCAAGATAGGGATATGGGTTCCGTCTATAGCCCCACCACAGTTAGGGAATCCCATTGCAGCAAAGCCATCCACTATGACCTGCACATTTCCCAGGGTCACTACCCTTGATATCAGCAGATCTTTGATTGCGTGGGCTACTTGCATCACAGCAGCCCCCACAGTAGATTTGCCCACTCCAAATTGATTCCCAACTGACCAGTAGCTGTCTGGCGTTGCAAGCTTCCACAGGGCTATCGCCACTCGCTTCTCAACTGTGAGGGCTGCTCTCATCTTGGTATTCATGCGCCTCAGGGCAGGGGAAAGCAAGTCACAAAGTTCCATGAAAGTGCCCTTACGCATGCGAAAGTTTCGCAGCCACTGGGAATCGTCCCAGACCTGCAACACTATGCGGTCCCACCAGTCTGTGCTTGTTTCCCGAGCCCAGAATCGGCGTTCCACAGCATGAACCTGCCCCATTAGCACCATGATGCATGCATTGGCAGGGCCCATGCTTTCAGAGAAATCTGTGTCCATGTCCTGATCACTCACGTGACCGCGCTGACGTCGCCTCCTCGCCCGGTATCGCTTTGCCAGGTTCTGTGCTGCATATACTGCTGGATAATGCGTGTGGTGTTTAATGTGCTCCTAATTGCCAAAGTGAGCTGAGCGGCCTCCATGCTTGCCTTGGTATGGCGTCCGCACAGAAAAAAGGCGCGGAACGATTGTCTGCCGTTGCTCTGACGGAGGGAGGGGCGACTGACGACATGGCTTACAGGGTTGGCTTCAGGGAGCTAAATCAACAAAGGGGGTGCCTGTACATCAAGGAGTATTTCAGGCAGGACTGCACGGAGGGTTCCAATAAGAAATGGTGCACCTAAGTTATCGTTCTTATTGGAACAAGGAGGTTAGCCTGGCCTCTGATTGATACATGGCTAGATTTACCTCGCTGCACCTTCTCTGTGAGTGACTGCAGTGTCATCTAGAGGAATGAGTCCCCTAGACAGGGGAGGAGGCAAATGAGTACAAAACAAATCTGGTCTATTTCTTGTTCTGACCCACTCCATCTATCTTTTACATCTTTGGCTGGCAGCAGACGGTGCAGAAGGACTGAATGCCATCCACATCTCATGGCTGCTCGGCAGAAGATGGTACAGTACAACTGCT